GCCCAGGCTGTTGTGCCAGCTCTGCCAAAACCATTCCTCCCTCTCCTTTCCACCCCTCTCCTGCAGGATGAGCTGCCTGGTGGGAAGCAGCCCAGGGAGATCCCGTCGATCCCGTGCAGGAGCAGCGGGTCCGTTGAGAAGCTGCAGCACAGCAGCCTTAGCCATGCAGGGAATTTTAATTACATTAAAATAAAAATGATTTCCCCTGGGGCCCCCAGCACCTGCCCGAGCCTTGATGTGGGGGCAGGACCCAGCCCCTCCCACTCAAACTCTCTGCTGAGCAAAAAATCCTCCAGATATTTGTTTTAATTTTAAGAAATGCTCCCCCAGGGCCCCTCCAGGGCTCTGGGATTCAGAGCATCACAGCCACGGAAAGCAGAGATGAGATTCAGTCACCAAAACCTGCACGTGGTGCCTCAGGTCCCTGGGGCAGGATGAGGCCGTTGACGAGCACCGGGATGCAGGCTACCAACAGTGGGACCAGTTCCCATTTTTTGGGGGGTGGGGAAATAACTCCAAACAGAACAGGAACTGATTTTTCCCCTGCAGGATGTTTAATTTCCACCAGCTCCGGGGCCCCAGTGCTGCCTCCACTCAAGGCTCAGCCCTGCCCTGGGGAATTACTCCCTCTTGGTGTTTGCATGGGAGAAGGTCAGAAAGGAGGAGGCAGCTGCTTCAAAACGAAAGAAAATAGGGTGTTAATCCAGAGGTGACCCAGAGAAGGGTCTTCTCTGGGAGGGCTTCTCCCTTCACATCTTTAAAGGCATGACCATAGGTTTTTTAGGGCCTGTGCAAAACCAAAGCTGTGGCCTGCTGAAGCTAAAAGCCATTTTCCTCCAGCTGTGCCACTTTTACAGCTGACTCACTTGCCAGATGGAAGGTGAAATGGGATGAGGGGAGAAAGACATAAACCAAGGCAGGGTGTGATTATAACAGCAGAGCAGACAACGCGCATAAAACTCACCATAAAATAATTTCAAAATTGATTTTTAGAGGCAAATCAAGATATGCTAAAAATAAAATACCCCTCTATGAGCACTCTCTTCAATGCTTTGAGAGCAGCAGTTGTTCCATTTTACCCCGAGCTCGTTGTCCCTGTGGTGCTCTGGGCAGCCCGCACCCGCCGGCTCCTGCACACCCCTTGCCGTGGGCACGGCGGGTTCCTCCCAGCAGGGCTCCCGTGGCCCCTGGGCTGAGGAAGCCCCCGAGCCCCCCACCAGCGATGCACCATCCACAGGGGTGCTGAGCTGCTCTCCAGGAGGTGCACTCATGTTGTGCTCCTGGGCTGGAGTCTATCGGGAAAGCTGTGACTGTTACGTGAGAGGCCCTGACTGACAGCAGCAGTGCCAAGGGTCATTTTGGTCTCAGAAAAAAAGAAAATGCTGTTTAAAAATATGAACTGTCCTGCTGTGCCTGTGTATAATGCCTGGATCCATCTCTCCACCAAGCTGAGGGTTACTGCGGGTTCAGAGCTTCCCAGGACCCATGGAGCAGCAGCCTTGGGTGTGCATCAGCAAGAGGGCTTGTGTTGGCCCAGCTCTGCTACCATGGAGTGAAACACAAGTGGGAAAATCCTAGAGAAGATGAAGTAAATGAGATTTTTCTTCCCTAGGTATTTAAATAACCAGAGACTTCATTACCAGCACACAGAGCTAGTAAAGCCCCAGGGATCCTGAGCAACGCGCTCTAGGTGAACCTGTTTTAGCAGAGAGGTTGGACAAGCTGATCTCCAGAGGTGCCTCCCATCCCCCACCATTCTGTGATCCTGTGGACAGATGATGGGCCCTGTGCTCTTCAGGGAGCAGAACACACCGTGCAGCTGAGGCACGAGCAGGGCGTTAGCACAGGTGAGGGCTTGGCAGTGCCACACATCCCCTCGCTCAGCCCAGGAGCAAAGGCAAGAGACTGAGTGGCTCATAATCCACATTTCTTGAGCAAACTGCTCCAGCACTCAGCCTCTCCCCCAGGAACACAGGGACCACGTTTCCCTGCAGGGTGTGCAGGAGGGATAGGTGTGAGAAGGGGAGGGAGGATGTACTGAGGACATGCTGCAGTGAAAACCAGCTCCTGCTTTTGAAGCTTGTGTTGAAGTTACAGAAGAACAGATGCAGGCATGGGAAAGTGATATTCTGGGTAATAATAATCATAATCATCAGCATTCCTCTGCCCAGGAGGAGAAGGCTGGGAGGAGAGCTGTAAAACCCACCCAGAGGGCATAACAGCTCCAGTCCCAGAGGGCATCACTGGGATCTTCTGTCCACATCATCAAAAGCTGCACGGGGAGAGCCTTGCAGGTGCAAAATTATGCAATGAATTATAATTTTTAAAAAAAACAAACAGACTGCTTTCAGAAAGTGACCGTCTGAGATCTAAAGCACAAAGCTCAGGCAGTGATCCCACCCATGCTGCTGCTGCATGAGCCACTGGACAATCACATCTGCAACAGGTTGGGAAGAGAAAACACCCTCTGGATGGCCTGGACACCCCACGTCTTGATGATGGAATGACCTTTTCCAGCAAGATTGCTGATATTTGGAAGCCAAAAGACCAGGTAGAGGCTTCAGCATTGCTTCCAAGGGCTGTGGGGAAGGAGGGTGCCAAACTCCAGTGACCAGCAGCGATCAGGGCTTGCAGGTTAAATGGGTTTCAAGCACACTGCCCCATCCATTTGCACCTCAGACACATGGCACCAAATCTCCTTCCGGATCAGAGATGGATCTCGGCTCAGCTCAGCAGTGGAAATAAGAAAAACTGCAAAGCCCAACAGCTGCTTCAACTGCTCAAATAAACAACAGTGGTGAAAAGTCAGGGCTTACCTTCGGAGGGACGTAAAACTCGAGGAGGAACCTCTCTCCTTCCACCTTCACTGCCTTCCGCAGCAGGAGGCGGCACTTCTGCCACTGCGAGCTCCCCACACAGTTCGTGTCATCGGCCACCATGTAGCGCAGCGTCCCCTCCCTCTGGATGTCCACCAGCTCCACCTTGGAGGAAGGCACCTTGGACAGGCGCAGCTTGTGGGTCCATTTCTCCCGTGGGTCACCAGGCTCCTTGCCCCCGGCTGGCCACGGCTCCCTCTCAGCTCTGCGGCTGCCCGGGGCAGCCTCGGCACAAGGCTCCGGAGAGGACTTGCGGTGCCACATCTCCTTCATGCCATCCACCACGCACAGGCTCATGTTCCTCAAGGAGAAGCCTTTCTTGAACTTGGGCTTGGTGGCAGCGTGGATGGAGACGTCCTCCGAGCTGCGGGACTGGCCGTAGGAGGACACCTTGCGTGCCTGCACCTGCTGAGCAGGGCTCAGGTACCGCCCGGCTCCCAGCGGGGCGTCCATGCTGTCCAGGGACTCGGTGGACGTCTCCTCCTTCCTTGGGGTGACCTCACGCCCGTAGGGGACGTGGCAGTTCTGCAGCCCCACGAAGGGCACGATGTTGTACTTGGTGGGAGAGTCGGACACGAACACCCGGCTGACCTCCAGGCTGAAGATGTCCAAGAAGTTGGCGGCGAAATGGTGGGAGAAGGAGGTCTCTGCCCCGGGGGTGTCGTAGTGGGGGTTCTCCTTCAGGAACTGGCAGAACTTCTGGGCGAAGTCGACGGCGGCCGCCTGGGCGTGCAGCTCGCAGAACTCCCTCCA